ATCAAGACTGCAAACATCACTCAGCGAGGCTATCAGTGCTGTTCCACAGTCAATGACTAGATAGGATTGTTATTGGTGTTGATTTCAATATTCACAATCGTATAAGGCTAAAGTGATGTTGAACAGATCAAATGGTATCAAAATATGATGTGATTTCCTTATATGTATGCACCATGCAGAATGCAAACTGTTTTAGTGGCAAAACTGCACCTACAGACTAGAAGCCTGAAGCTGTTAAATTGTAAAGTCATGATCAACTCTGTTTGATTGTGCTGTCATGATTAACCTTGATTAATTGTGATGTTGTGATTAACTTGGTTTGATTGTGCTGTTGTGATTCACATTGTGTGATGATCCTGTCATTATTATGTCTCCCCCAGAATGGAGGGAGACATATTGTTTTTGGCACGGTTCCCGTCGGCGTCGGCGTTGGCATTAATATTTTTTCGCGAAACTTTGTATACACATTAACCCAGCACTGAAGTGGTGCCTTTTGCTATTTAGAGATTTTTGACATTTTTATTTTTTCCCGTTTCCATGGAGATAAGTTGAACATAGGCTCTGAATGGGGGTAAGCTTGGTTTCCGGACCATAACTCAGAAACCGTTTAATATTTTTTTCGCGAAACTTTGTATACACATTAACCCAGCACTGAAGTGGTGCCTTTTGCTATTTAGAGATTTTTGACATTTTTATTTTTTCCTGTTTCCATGGAGATAAGTTGAACATAGACTTTGAATGGGGGTAAGCTTTGTTTCCGGACCATAACTCAGAAACCGTTTAATATTTTTTCGCGAAACTTTGTATACACATTAACCCAGCACTGAAGTGGTGCCTTTCGCTATTTAGAGATTTTTGACATTTTTATTTTTTCTCGTTTCCATGGAGATAACTTGAACATAGGCTCTGAATGGGGGTAAGCTTGGTTTCCGGACCATAACTCAGAAACCGTTTAATATTTTTTTCGCGAAACTTTGTATACATATTAACCCATCACTGAAGTGGTGACTTTTGCTATTTAGAGATTTTTGACATTTTTATTTTTTCCTGTTTCCATGGAGATAAGTTGAACATAGACTCTGAATGGGGGTAAGCTTTGTTTCCTGACCATAACTCAGAAACCGTTTAATATTATTTCATGAAGTTGTAACATATTAACCAAGTCCTGAAGTGGTGCCCATTAGTTGTTTGAAATTTCTAGGAGTTCTATTTTTGTCTCTGTTATTTAATTAATGGAGGGTGAGAATGAAGAGATGGGGTTTAACGTGAAGTAAACGAATGAATGGGGGTTAGGGGAGTGGGGGGAGACATATGTTTTTACGAGTAAAAACACTTTCTAGTTAACCCTGTTTGATGATCCTGTCCTGATTCACCTTGTTTGATGATCCTGTCCTGATTCACCTTGTTTGATGATCCTGTCATGATTCACCTTGTTTGATGATCCTCTCATGATTCCCCCTATTTGATGATCCTGTCATGATTCACCCTGTTTGATGATCCTGTCATTTTTCACCTTGTTTGATGATCCTGTCATTTTTCACCTTGTTTGATGATCCTCTCATGATTCCCCTTATTTGATGATCCTGTAATTATTCACCTTGTTTGATGATCCTGTCATGATTCACCCTCTTTGAAGATCCTGTCATGATTCCCCTTTTTTGATGATCCTGTCATGATTCCCCTTGTTTGATGATCCTGTCATGATTCCCCTTGTTTGATGATCCTGTCATGATTCACCCTGTTTGATGATCCAGTCATGATTTCTCTGTTTGATGATCATGTCATGATTCACCCTGTTTGATGATCCTTTCATGATTCACCCTGTTTGATGATCCTGTCATGATTCCCCTTATTTGATGATCCTGTCATGATTCACCTTTTTTGATGATCCTGTCATGATTCCCCTTATTTGATGATCCTGTCATGATTCACCTTTCTGATGATCCAGTCATGATTTCTCTGTTTGATGATCCAGTCATGATTTCTCTGTTTGATGATCCTGTCATGATTCACCCTGTTTGATGATCCTGTCATGATTCACCCTGTTTGATGATCCTGTCATGATTCACCCTGTTTGATGATCCTGTCATGTTTCCCCTTATTTGATGATCCTGTCATGATTCACCCTGTTTGATGATCCTGTCATGATTCACCTTGTTTAACTATCCTGTTATGATTCCCCTTGTTTGATGATCCTGTCATGATTCACCCTGTTTGATGATCCTGTCATGATTCACCCTGTTTGATGATCCTGTCATGATTCTCCTTATTTGATGATCCTGTCATGATTCACCTTTTTTGATGATCCTGTCATGATTCACCTTGTTTGATGATCCTGTCATGATTCCCCTTATTTGATGATCCTGTCATGATTCTCCTTGTTTGATGATCCTGTCATGATTCAACTTGTTTGATGATCCTGTCATGATTCCCCTTTTTTGATGATCCTGTCATGATTCCCCTTGTTTGATGATCCTGTCATGATTCCCCTTGTTTGATGATCCTGTCATGATTCACCCTGTTTGATGATCCAGTCATGATTTCTCTGTTTGATGATCATGTCATGATTCACCCTGTTTGATGATCCTTTCATGATTCACCCTGTTTGATGATCCTGTCATGATTCCCCTTATTTGATGATCCTGTCATGATTCACCTTTTTTGATGATCCTGTCATGATTCCCCTTATTTGATGATCCTGTCATGATTCACCTTTCTGATGATCCAGTCATGATTTCTCTGTTTGATGATCCAGTCATGATTTCTCTGTTTGATGATCCTGTCATGATTCACCCTGTTTGATGATCCTGTCATGATTCACCCTGTTTGATGATCCTGTCATGATTCACCCTGTTTGATGATCCTGTCATGTTTCCCCTTATTTGATGATCCTGTCATGATTCACCCTGTTTGATGATCCTGTCATGATTCACCTTGTTTAACTATCCTGTTATGATTCCCCTTGTTTGATGATCCTGTCATGATTCACCCTGTTTGATGATCCTGTCATGATTCACCCTGTTTGATGATCCTGTCATGATTCTCCTTATTTGATGATCCTGTCATGATTCCCCTTTTTTGATGATCCTGTCATGATTCACCCTGTTTGATGATCCTGTCATGATTCACCTTGTTTGATGATCCTGTCATGATTCCCCTTTTTTGATGATCCTGTCATGATTCCCCTTATTTGATGATCCTGTCATGATTCACCGTTTGATGATCCTGTCATGATTCCCCTTATTTGATGATCCTGTCATGATTCCCCTTTTTTGATGATCCTGTCATGATTCCCCTTGTTTGATGATCCCGTCATGATTCCCCTTGTTTGATGATCCTGTCATGATTCACCCTGTTTGATGATCCAGTCATGATTTCTCTGTTTGATGATCCTGTCATGATTCACCCTGTTTGATGATCCTTTCATGATTCACCCTGTTTGATGATCCTGTCATGATTCCCCTTATTTGATGATCCTGTCATGATTCACCTTTTTTGATGATCCTGTCATGATTCCCCTTATTTGATGATCCTGTCATGATTCACCTTTCTGATGATCCAGTCATGATTTCTCTGTTTGATGATCCAGTCATGATTTCTCTGTTTGATGATCCTGTCATGATTCACCCTGTTTGATGATCCTGTCATGATTCACCCTGTTTGATGATCCTGTCATGTTTCCCCTTATTTGATGATCCTGTCATGATTCACCCTGTTTGATGATCCTGTCATGATTCACCTTGTTTAACTATCCTGTTATGATTCCCCTTGTTTGATGATCCTGTCATGATTCACCCTGTTTCATGATCCTGTCATGATTCACCCTGTTTGATGATCCTGTCATGATTCTCCTTATTTGATGATCCTGTCATGATTCTCCTTATTTGATGATCCTGTCATGATTCCCCTTTTTTGATGATCCTGTCATGATTCACCCTGTTTGATGATCCTGTCATGATTCACCTTGTTTAACGATCCTGTCATGATTCACCCTGTTTGATGATCCTCTAATGATTCACCCTGTTTGATGATCCTGTCATGATTCACCCTGTTTGATGATCCTCTAATGATTCCCCTTATTTGATGATCCTGTCATGATTCACCCTGTTTGATGATCCTGTCATGATTCACCCTGTTTGACGATCCTGTCATGATTCACCCTGTTTGATGATCCTCTAATGATTCCCCTTATTTGATGATCCTGTCATGATTCACCCTGTTTGATGATCCTTTCATGATTCACGTTGTTTGATGATCCTGTCATGATTCCCCTTTTTTGATGATCCTCTAATGATTCACCCTGTTTGACGATCCTGTCATGATTCCCCTTATTTGATGATCCTGTCATGATTCTCCTTATTTGATGATCCTGTCATGATTCACCTTGTTTGATGATCCTGTCATGATTCACCCTGTTTGATGATCCTGTCATGATTCACCTTGTTTGATGATCCTGTCATGATTCACCTTGTTTGATGATCCTGTCATGATTCACCTTGTTTAATGATCCTGTCATTATGAACCCTGTTTGATGATCCTGTCATGATTCATCCTGTTTGATGATCCTGTCATTATGAACCCTGTTTGATGATCCTGGCATGATTCATCTTGTTTGATGACTGCCTCTGGTAGATACTGAATGTCTACCAGGAGGGCGCAAGGTCGGTGGTTTAATCCTCATTCACGCCACACCACACCAACAGATGTTCAAAGATGGTAGTTAAGGTGATAAAACAAGGACTGATTATCTCGGAGTCAGTGTACTGTGCCTGAGTGGGATATCCATGTTACAACTGAAGCATCTCAGTGGGCTAGCACTATGAAACCAACATTAGTCCAAACCAGTACAGGCAGTCTCTTTCACGCCCGCACTCACGTTTTCAGTACAATAATCTTGAACCTGACATGAAACCCCATTTCACCTCACCTCTACTCAGAAACCTTCCCTATAGTCACTTGAGCAACAACAGTGTGCAGAATATCCCATGTTGTATTTGCAGACAGCTGCCCTAACAACCTGACCTGCAGGGACAAGACATGCTTCAGAGATGCAGAGAAGTGCAATTTTCAGTCGGAGTGTTCAGGAGGAGAGGACGAGGCTGACTGCTGGTGTGGTAGGCATACTTCTTCTATACCTATGTACCGCCGTGGTCTAGTGGCAGAGCGTCCGCCCTGGGAGCGGAAGGTCCGGGGTTCGATCCCCGGCCGCGTCATACCAAAAGACGTTAAAAGATGGTACTTGTTGTTACCCTGTCTGGCGCTCGGCATTAAGGGGCTAAAACAAGGACTGGTCGGCTCGGAGTCAGTATACTGTGTCTGAGTCGGGTATTCATGCTAAACTGCGGCATTGTATCTCAGTGGGCTAGCACTTTAAATCGTCATCAGTCCGGACTACTACAAGCAGCCACACACACACACACATGCATGCACGTCGCTATATAAGTGCAATAATCTTGGACGCGACGTTAAACCCAATTTCACCTCACCTCACTCTATACCTATGTGACTGGGGGATTCTGCGACAGTATGTCACATGGATGTTACCCCAGTGAGACGATAATGAATAATTAATGAATTGTTCATGAAATTATTCATGACCTTTTATGAGTATGCATGCTCTTATAATGGGATGCTTTCATGAACTTTTTTAATTCATGAATGTTCAAAATAGTTAAAATTCATGAATATTCATGAAATGGTATGGTTCATGGTGTGGTCCATGAATATTCATGACTGGTCTGGTTGAAAAAGCGTTATATTTTAGGTTCATGAATATATGAGATTTTAATGCACTAAAAATAAATCAATTTCAGTTGAAATATGTTACATGTTCATTTTGCATTTGAAAAACTTCAGAGAAACCTCATTCACATTTCATGAACACTCATGAATTGTATGCTGTCAAAAAGTGTTCATAAATTTGAAAATAAATCATGAATATCCTTAAGATAGTATGGTGCATGAATATTCATGAACTGTATGCTTGAAAACACTTCATTTTCTGGAAAGAGAACTCTCTCTTTTTAGCATTGTCAACAGAAATGAAAAAGTATTAAGAATAATATTTATGTGTTTCTGTTCATTGTCAACTTGAGGAGGAATTATGTGCAAGTACAATTATAGATTGTTGGCATGAGGGTGACGACAATCTGCAGTTATTTCATTTCTAGGTCATCATCACTCTTCATATGAATCAGTCTCTTCATTAATAGCGATTAACTTTCATGACTTCTAGATTGATTCCTAATTATTCGTGGAAATTCATGAATGATTTTTAATTAACAATCATGAAATTTCATCAATCCAGATTTATTCAAGCAAGTTCATGAATTGCTTTTTCATGAATTATCATGAACTTGCTTGAATTATGTTCCTGATATTCATGAACATTCATGAACCATACATGAACTTTCATGAATTCGTAGGGGTAATAGGTCAACAGCCAGGAGACCTTGGATTGTTGTTCATGCAGTGAAGCATGGTGTGTCTGACGGCATTTATTTACAGTCTGCTATGATATATCTACAATATGTAAACAACTGACAGTGGCATTAAACAACAATCACTCAGAGTCAATCAGGGATTCGACACATCCGATATTAAAGTAGTAATAAATATAGTAAGAGTTTGCCATGACTGGACTGTGAGTGCGAGACAATCGGGGATTTGACACATTCAGTTTGACACATCCAGGTAGAAATAGTGATAAGTGAGAGTTTGCCTTATCTGCACTTCATTGACACAGTTTGGGAAACAACACATCCAGTTCAAGACAACAGAGTTCAACTGTAGCATATATATGTGAATATATAACCAAGTGAGTTACAGAACCTTATGCAAGTCCCTTTTTTCACTTCTCTCCGCTTCACATTTTCACATTGACAACCATCAATAACCTTTAAGTTTGTTCTTACGTATTACAATAGAACTTGAACAAAATACCTGTGAAGCGATAAAATAAAGTACTATTTGATACCATGTTTGACTACAACTTCATTTGTTTCAGATAAAACAATAACCAGTCAAGACAAAAACAAACTTGGATCAAACACTTTTGCACAAAATGGTATGATTTATGTTTTTTTAATCTTTTCTTCAGTAGTCATTTGTGATTGCTTATTCAGCTTCCTCAGTATGATTGAATGTCCAGGAAGCCAGGATGATTTCATGTCAATCCTTACAGTATTTAGATTTAAACTCACAATGGGTGGATAGCAAGGATTGATGTTCATGCTATCAACCACTGGTTTGCATTGCCTGGCCTGGAGCCAGTCCCCATACAAGCACCTGTGCTATTACTGAAAGATGACAACAGAGTTGGAAGAACATACAGAACAACTGTAGCAATATTTATTACAATTATTGAAATATATTATTTGCCTTCATAGATTTGACAATCATAGCAAAACAACAGTTTAAATTCACTTACTCAATTTTAAATCTGGTACTTTAAGTTGGCTTTCTCTCCAAAGTCACTGGAAGGTATTCAGTTACAACTCTGGGTGAGCTTGCCTTCAATAGATGATATATACCCTGCATGGTGGGAGATGTCAGTCTTTTAAAGGAAAATGGCATATTTAGCACATTATCAGCTAAAATTGGATAAAATGGGAGAGGATTACAAAAGGATTGGTCTGACCCGATAATTTTAAATTATAGCTTCAGAAAGCGTTATCAGTGTGAATGAGTAAAGGATGCAATGCAAAGGGTACAATCAATGCATTGATCAAACTTCCTGATAAGCTGCATATCTGCATCAAATACACAACAGACTGGACGCAAGGGAGCTAAAATATATTGAATACCCAATTGTGAATGATAACTTGTGAGTAAAGAGTCAATGGCTGAACCAGTTATCTGCACTCATGACTGATCGTAGGTGAAGATATATACCACTGTGTGGAGCTTGGGGAGTTGAAACAAAACAGCACATAAAAGGCGATGCAGACTCTAGTATTTACACAAAACAGTCACGTAGAGTTCAGTGTGCACACGAAACAGTGGCGCGGAGTTCAGTGTGCACACGAAACAGTGATGTGGAGTACAATGTGCACACGAAACTGTAACACAGAGTTCAATGTGCACACGAAACAGTGACGCGGATTTCAGTGTGCACACGAAACAGTGACGTGGAGTTCAATGTGCACACGAAACTTATGTGGAGTTCAGTGTGCACACGAAACAGTGACGTGGAGTTCAATGTGCACAGGAAACAGTGACGTGGAGTTCAGTGTGCACAGGAAACAGTGACGTGGAGTTCAGTGTGCACACGAAACTGATGTGGAGTTCAGTGTGCACACAAAACAATGACGTGGAGTTCAGTGTGCACACGAAACAGTGACATGGAGTTCAGTGTGCACACGAAACTGATGTGGAGTTCAGTGTGCACACGAAAGCGTCACGTGGAGTTCAATGTGCACACGAAACAGTGACGTGGAGTTCAGTGTGCACATGAAACTGATCTGGAGTTCAGTGTGCACACGAAAGCGTCACGTGGAGTTCAATGTGCACAGGAAACAGTGACGTGGAGTTCAGTGTGCACACGAAACTGATGTGGAGTTCAGTGTGCACACAAAACAATGACGTGGAGTTCAGTGTGCACACGAAACAGTGACATGGAGTTCAGTGTGCACACGAAACTGATGTGGAGTTCAGTGTGCACACGAAACTGATGTGGAGTTCAGTGTGCACACGAAACTGATGTGGAGTTCAGTGTGCACACGAAACTTATGTGGAGTTCAGTGTGCACACGAAACAGTGGCATGGAGTTAAGTGTGCACACGAAACTGATGTGGCGTTCAGTGTGCACACGAAAGCGTCACGTGGAGTTCAGTGTGCACACGAAACAGTGGCGTGGAATTCAGTGTGCACACGAATCTGATGTGGCGTTCAGTGTGCACACGAAAGCGTCACGTGGAGTTCAATGTGCACCTGAAACAGTGGCGTGGAATTCAGTGTGCACACGAATCTGATGTGGCTTTCAGTGTGCACACGAATCTGATGTGGCTTTCAGTGTGCACACGAAAGCGTCACGTTGAGTTCAATGTGCACACGAAACAGTGACGTGGAGTTCAGTGTGCACATGAAACTGATCTGGAGTTCAGTGTGCACACGAAAGCGTCACGTGCAGTTCAATGTGCACAGGAAACAGTGACGTGGAGTTCAGTGTGCACACGAAACTGATGTGGAGTTCAGTGTGCACACAAAACAATGACGTGGAGTTCAGTGTGCACACGAAACAGTGACATGGAGTTCAGTGTGCACACGAAACTGATGTGGAGTTCAGTGTGCACACGAAACTGATGTGGAGTTCAGTGTGCACACGAAACTGATGTGGAGTTCAGTGTGCACACGAAACAGTGGCATGGAGTTTAGTTCAGTGTGCACACGAAACTGATGTGGAGTTCAATGTGCACACGAAATAGTTAAGTGGAGTTCAGTGTGCACACGAAACTGATGTGGAGTTCAGTGTGCACACGAAACTGATGTGGAGTTCAGTGTGCACACGAAACTGATGTGGTGTTCAGTGTGCACACGAAACTGATGTGGAGTTCAGTGTGCACACGAAACAGTGGCATGGAGTTTAGTTCAGTGTGCACACGAAACTGATGTGGAGTTCAATGTGCACACGAAACTGAGGTGGAGTTCAGTGTGCACACGAAACACTGACGTGGAGTTCAGTGTGCACACGAATCTGATGATGCGTTCAGTGTGCACACGAAACAGTGATGTCGAGTTCAGTGTGCACATGAAATAGTGATGCAGAGTTCAGTGTGCACACAAAACAGTGGCTTGGAGTTCAGTATGCACACAAAACTGATGTGGCGTTCAGTGTGCACACAAAACAGTCACGTGGAGTTCAGTGTGCACAGGAAACTGATGTGGCGTTCAGTGTGCACACAAAACAGTCACGTGGAGTTCAATGTGCACACGAAACTGATGTGGCGTTCAGTGTGCACACGAAACTTGGCGTTCAGTGTGCACACGAAACAGTGACGTGGAGTTCAGTGTGCACACAAAACAGTGACGTGGAGTTCAATGTGCACACGAAACTGATGTGGCATTCAGTGTGCACACGAAACTGATGTGGCGTTCAGTGTGCACACAAAACTGATGTGGCGTTCAGTGTGCACACAAAACAGTCACGTGGAGTTCAGTGTGCACAGGAAACTGATGTGGCGTTCAGTGTGCACACAAAACAGTCACGTGGAGTTCAATGTGCACACGAAACTGATGTGGCGTTCAGTGTGCACACGAAACTTGGCGTTCAGTGTGCACACGAAACAGTGATGTGGAGTTCAGTGTGCACACAAAACAGTGACGTGGAGTTCAATGTGCACACGAAACTGATGTGGCGTTCAGTGTGCACACGAAACTTGGCGTTCAGTGTGCACACGAAACAGTGACGTGGAGTTCAGTGTGCACACAAAACAGTGACGTGGAGTTCAATGTGCACACGAAACTGATGTGGCGTTCAGTGTGCACACGAAACTTGGCGTTCAGTGTGCACACGAAACAGTGGCGTGGAGTTCAGTGTGCACACGAAACAGTGACGTGGAGTTCAATGTGCACACGAAACTGATGTGGCGTTCAGTGTGCACACGAAACTTGGCATTCAGTGTGCACACGAAACAGTGGCGTGGAGTTCAGTGTGCACACGAAACAGTGACGTGGAGTTCAGTGTGCACACGAAACTGATGTGGAGTTCAGTGTGCACACGAAACAGTGACGTGGAGTTCAGTGTGCACAGGAAACGGTGAAGAGGAGTTCAGTGTGCACACGAAACAGTGACGTGGAGTTCAGTGTGCACACGAAACAGTGACATGGAGTTCAGTGTGCACACGAAACTGATGTGGAGTTCAGTGTGCACACGAAACTGATGTGGAGTTCAGTGTGCACACGAAACTGATGTGGAGTTCAGTGTGCACACGAAACAGTGGCATGGAGTTTAGTTCAGTGTGCACACGAAACTGATGTGGAGTTCAATGTGCACACGAAATAGTTAAGTGGAGTTCAGTGTGCACACGAAACTGATGTGGAGTTCAGTGTGCACACGAAACTGATGTGGAGTTCAGTGTGCACACGAAACTGATGTGGTGTTCAGTGTGCACACGAAACTGATGTGGAGTTCAGTGTGCACACGAAACAGTGGCATGGAGTTTAGTTCAGTGTGCACACGAAACTGATGTGGAGTTCAATGTGCACACGAAACTGAGGTGGAGTTCAGTGTGCACACGAAACACTGACGTGGAGTTCAGTGTGCACACGAATCTGATGATGCGTTCAGTGTGCACACGAAACAGTGATGTCGAGTTCAGTGTGCACATGAAATAGTGATGCAGAGTTCAGTGTGCACACAAAACAGTGGCTTGGAGTTCAGTATGCACACAAAACTGATGTGGCGTTCAGTGTGCACACAAAACAGTCACGTGGAGTTCAGTGTGCACAGGAAACTGATGTGGCGTTCAGTGTGCACACAAAACAGTCACGTGGAGTTCAATGTGCACACGAAACTGATGTGGCGTTCAGTGTGCACACGAAACTTGGCGTTCAGTGTGCACACGAAACAGTGACGTGGAGTTCAGTGTGCACACAAAACAGTGACGTGGAGTTCAATGTGCACACGAAACTGATGTGGCATTCAGTGTGCACACGAAACTGATGTGGCGTTCAGTGTGCACACAAAACTGATGTGGCGTTCAGTGTGCACACAAAACAGTCACGTGGAGTTCAGTGTGCACAGGAAACTGATGTGGCGTTCAGTGTGCACACAAAACAGTCACGTGGAGTTCAATGTGCACACGAAACTGATGTGGCGTTCAGTGTGCACACGAAACTTGGCGTTCAGTGTGCACACGAAACAGTGATGTGGAGTTCAGTGTGCACACAAAACAGTGACGTGGAGTTCAATGTGCACACGAAACTGATGTGGCGTTCAGTGTGCACACGAAACTTGGCGTTCAGTGTGCACACGAAACAGTGACGTGGAGTTCAGTGTGCACACAAAACAGTGACGTGGAGTTCAATGTGCACACGAAACTGATGTGGCGTTCAGTGTGCACACGA